TTCTTTTTTCTTATGTGGTGCTGAGGAATCGAACCCAGGGCCTCAGGCATGCAAGGCAAGCGCTCTACCACTGAGCCACCTTCCCAGTCCCCTTTCTTTCTTTCTTTCCTTCCCTCCTTCCTTCCTTCCTTCTTTCTTTCTCTTCTCGTCTCTTATTTTGTGCCAGTACTGGAGCTTGAACTCAGGACCTCAAGCTTGACTTTTTCCATTCAAGGCTGGTGCTATACCATTTGAATAATTCTGCTTTCACTCTTTTGCAGGTTAATTGGAAATGAGCCTCACATTTCTGTCCAAACCTTAGCCTCCTGGGTAGACAGGATTGCAGGGGTGAACTATAGTGCCTGCTAGTATCCCTTTATTTTTTTCCAGTCCTGCGGCTTGAACTCAGGGTCTGGGCACTGTCCCTGAGCTTCTTTTGCTCAAGACCAGCACTCTACCACTTGAACCACAGCTCCACATCTGGCTTTTTCTGTGTATGTGGTACTGAGGAATCGAACCCAGAACCTCATGCGTGCTCGGCAAGCGCTCTGCCTCGGAGCCACCTTCCCAGCCCTTCCTTTACTTTAGACACACACAAAACAATGTTTGTTCTGTTTTCCTACGTGGCAATCATATATTCTTGTAAAAGCCTCAGTGTCCTGGGGGGTTGGGGGTGGGGGTGGGGGGTATAACTACCCCCAAGGGAATTGGAGAGCCCCGCCCATGAGCTCTGTCCATTCCAGAGGCTTCTGCCCAGCTTGCTTTTCTGGCAGCAGCACCTCATTAGCAGTGATTTAGGGCTTCTCCCAAGGCTTTGTGCTCCGCAGTGACCTCCCTGTCACCCGGCCCCCTCATCCTAATCTGTCAGCAAATCTGCTTTTCCGTAGGAACGAAGGAAAACAAAATTCCCACCGCAGCTTGTGGGCAGGCCTGTAGTTTATCTGAAGTCTGTCCAGGGGGTCAGAGTGGCTCGGAGCCCAAATGCTTCACATAGTTCCGTCTCCACGCTATGGTTTGGAAAGCTGGGGTCTTTTAGAGCCATCCCCTCGTGTCCCTGGTCCTGAGCAACCCCCGCGGCCCCCCTCCCCGCCCTGTCGCCCAGGGATGGAAAACACAGTTTGCGGTCGTTGTGTTTTTGTCTTGTGTTCACCTGACTGTGTACAAAGCACCAGATTGCACGGCAGTGTCACTAAATAAAACCAGTCAGCACCCGAGCGAGCTCCGGAGTCTCATTTGAAGAATGAGTTGTGGATCAGGTGGGAACCATAGCCTCAGGACCCGCTGTGGAGATCTGCACCCTGAACCTCAGTGACGGGGGGGGGGGGGGGGCGGTTCCTGGGTCTGTGGCTGTTGCCCGGTACTGGCATGTTTAGCAGCTCTTGCTGAGGGGCGCAGGGCTGTAGGCAGGTCCCTGGGGTGAGGTACCGCCCAGGTTTGCTCTGTGCTATGCCGCCCGTCCCCTGGTTACTCATCTGTGTTGTCTGCTGAGTCTAGGGGGCAGGGGCCGGAGGGGAAGCTCCCGGGAGACCGGGCAAGGCCACTGCAGGGCCGGGGAGCTGAGTGCCTGGTCCCAACCCACCTCCCAATGAGGCTGCGGTCCCCAGAGACACGGGAGAGACTCTCACGGTGACTGTGCGGCGGCCTGTGCCCTGTGGGAGGAGCTTCTGTAAACAGGCGCTGGGCTTTGCAGCTGCCCGCAGCGAGGCCAGCTGCAGCCTGTGCTGGAAAACAATCCTCGGGGCCAGGGGCAGCCTGTCCCTGTGACTCCACGTGGTGGGGTGGTGTCACCCCAGAACCAGCCTGCAGGTGTGCGCTCCTCGATAGGGAGTGTGTGTGTGTGTGTGTGTGTGTGTG